TAGGTTTGCGTAATTGCGGTAAAGTATACAACTCAAGATGGAAATATTCCAACCAATTTAATCCGGTTCACTTATAGGGTGCCTGGCTGTTTAGAAAAGCATAAATACAGTAGAGTTTATTTTCTAAGGAACTTGACAATTTTACGCAAACAGTTGAGCATTGAATGATACCGTAGCATTGCCCACACAGATGTGGACAGGGTTAAGACAGTGAGTAGCTCTCATAAGATTATAGAGTTATACGGTATAGCGATAGTAAGAGTAAGTAAGTACTTACTATCAGATACTGGATATGATATTTGAGTTAGATACTTACACCGTCCTACATCGGTTTGCACGTGTGTGCTTGCAATTGTTGTTTTGGAATAATTCTGATTTATTTGCTGGGTAACACAATTTAGCGGACTTGGTGTTAAAGACGTGTCGTTCAGTGAAATGCCCTATGATCGTTTAATTTTTTTAAAAAAATCCATTGTGTGTATTATACTTTGAGGGAGTTATTGTATTGTCTCTAGCATCATTTTTATTCTACATGTGTATAGTTGTGAATGATATTTATTTAATATTCCTTCTTTAAGAAGAGAATATTCTCTACATTCACCGTGGCAAAAATGAAATTTAAGGCTGACTTAAATACTGACGGGATGTACAGTCGGGGGAAGCCAGACTACATGATAACAGAGACTATCGTAAATATCTGTACGACATTTACATGATTGTCAAAGGAAATCTAAGTAAGCAATCTAATTAGTCCAGGGCCCCTCTGGATATCAGCCTCGTCGCTAAATGGGCCACCCTGGCTGAATGAAGTTTACCTTTACCTTTACCTGAGCACAGATCTAGAACAAAGGGAACGATTTCATAATCTCTGCCACTCTGGGAGAAGGCTTTCTTTCTGAGAATATACTGAGCCCCTGCACGTCCAAGGTACACCGATTGCAACAGATATAATTTGCTTATTGATATATAAAGAAACCCTCCATTTGGTGAGAAAACATGCTCGGATATTTGTCCGCGAACATAATCTTTCCGAAAAGCGAAGAGTTTTTCGAAAGCGAAGCTCGAGCAAAACTGAATTGAGGCTTTCGAGGCTTGGGGTAATTCTGGACCGGAGGTAGGTTCGATTCGCATCATGAGTCAGCACACGTTTGGTTACAATTATTCATGACACATACATGGCATTCATTATGTTCGCCATCACGTGCGTTACAAAGTTAAAATTTTATCTTCCCATTTGCGGTGCAGTGAACACAACTGAGAGGGGTGAATAGGTTTTCGGATCGACGGATTCGGCCTTAAAAGCGCACGGATTGTAGATTTTTGCAGTAAATCGAGCGGATTCGCGGATTTTGAAAACACAGTGGATCGTGGATCTGCTGTGAATATTGGTGCGGATTCCGGATTCTGCCTGTCTTGATGTTCGGATCTCCTAATCGAAATGTGGATCATAGATCTTTCATTAGTCTTGGTCGGTATGTTAATGAATTCATCCAAATTATTTCTTTTTTTCGAACGAAGCTCATTTAAACTCAGGTGAGTGTTATAGTCATTGATCGTGTTGCCTTCTTTACTATTTGTACAAAATTAACAATGGCAATCACGTTTACCAATTTACCCTTGACCTTTTACACTTCTGTTTCGGATGTGGTTGTGGTTTCGGATTTGAATAACAATATTCGCGGATCGACGGATTTGGCGAAAAAACGCACGGATCGAAGGATTTACATGCTCCCATTCACCCCCCTCACAACTGATTCCTTGTGTTATAACTATACATGATTTTCTTTTTTTTCTGATTTCTTTTGCCAGTTTTCTAATTTCGACTGGTGCACAGTGATAGGGTAATTATTTAGCGAAAGAAATAAAAAAAAGAGGAGCAATAATGACGAGTCCAAATAACGATTTGGAACACGAAAATAACAGAGGTTGAATTGAGACCAAGAAATAGTGGCCGTAATAACTAGATACATGTACTGATTCAATCGTAAGCAACCTTAGCTTAAAACTCAGCTGCCTCCACCTGACCAATCATTGCTTTTGCCTTGTCTACATTGTCTTTTAGTCAAAGAAACGGAAAGATACAATCGAAGGTCACCTTTGACCGACTGAACGTGCGGAAGACGTTTTATGCTTCTGTCATTAAGGTTTGACGCATTAAGCTAGTGATTAATTATTTGTCCTCGAAGATTAACATATTTATTCGAATAAGCGTGGATCCTAATCATTAATCGTATTTTTTTTGTATTTTATTTTTATCTTTTTGGTTGGCATGATAACACTACAGAATCAAAAGACATTTTAAACTTATGTCACCTTGGTGGCACGTATACCCGACATAGTTTGCATCGCACAAACCACACTTGTAGTGGTAAACAACGCGTTGCTGGTTAATGATAGGCGACTTCTTTTCTTTTAATTTGATTTCGTGTCCGATCTTACGGCTTGTATACGCGGGGCGAATTTCAATTCCAATTTTGCGGCGTAGTTCCCCAAGTTGCCTTGGCGCGGAATTGGCCGATCTCTGATCTTTAAATGGTAAAACTATTCTGACAGGCGCTTCATTTCTGTTACATGCTCGAGTGGAAATTGGATCGCCAGAAACTTTCTTGGTGACAAAATTACTGATGGTCGGTTGCAGCAGTTGGGCTGGGTATTGAAGTCGGGAGAACGCCTGTGTGAGACGATCACATTCCAGGTGGAACAGTTGCCAGGTAGATGACACTTTAAAGGCACGATCCAGCGTTGTTTTTAGCAATGAATGATTTGCTATCATCGACCATCAGCAATTTTGTTAATCTTCTTCATCCTTAACCGGCCATTCTTGTTCCTTTTTGGGTTTGACCCCCTCTTTTCTTTTCATAGACCTGATTTTGTCCATTTTAACAAAACAAAAAAGCAAAAAAAAAACAAAAAAACAAAAAAAAACAAAAAACAAAAAAACAAAAACAAAAACAAAACAGAAAAAATCTGATCGTAAGAAGTTACAAATTTTCCACTTCTTGTGCTCTCGTGTGGCTGAAGGGCAAGGTTAATATGTATTCTTTTTCAAGGCCTATTCCACCTCAAGGAACGACATCAGCTACAAGCTTTTACCTAGTATACTTAGTTGTCTTGAACTGAGTACGTTAGCCTGATGCAATTTCACTAATGTAGCTTCTTTTATTCCTGATGGTCGTGCGCTAAGATCTTCTTAAATGCAAACAGCTACTAAAACCACGCATGGACTTCAATGCGCCTTATTTCGAAAACGAGTGCGGTGACCCGCCACGTTTTTTACTTTTTGGCAAAAGTTGATCTTTACCTCACTACATGGCAAGTTTTGAAAAAATCTGTGCGTGAGAACATTTTTGGCGCGAACGTCTTCATTATTCTCAGGCTGTAGACAGTTTGCCAGCAATGAAATCTCCGTAACGATGTTTAAGGCCGCTCGCCGCTAATAGACCCTCCTGTCCGATAACAACAAAATGTCCTACTTATTCCAAGTATTGACCGAAGTTATCTTATTATTGTTGATTGAGAGATGTTTAATTGTTTCTTTTACGGACTTTTCATTCAGTTTTTATGCACATGCTCATTTTTTTAAGAACTTCTTGACACCGGAGTGACTAGGATCATGGGCAGCAATACGCCACTTATTCCAGCGGAGGTACGCTCACTCTTAACCTAGTAACGTTTGGGGGGATTCTTTGACTGCAGTTTTTGCCTCAGTAATGTAAACCAGCCAGTTTCTGATCAAGCTATGAAAATATCATTCCTGAATATTGCAAGGGCATAGCACGAGAGAAAACGTTACTGTGCCAAGGAATTTGAGGCAATGTAGTAATTTGATACTTTTTTGTGCGACGCGGGTTAAAAAACTCAAAGCTATGAAAAGAATGTATGGACTCGTTAGCTCTCTCGTCATCCGGAAATTTTGCAGTACTTGAAAGCCAATTTTTAATATTACACCCAAAGAGCTTAACATTTCATCATGTACTAAGTTTATTAGCTCTTTAACTGTTTGGATCCAATTTATATCTAAAATGATGTCTTCCCTACGGAAAGTCGTATGCTAGTAAGGCAAAATATCAACAAATAACAGCAGCCAAGATCGCCCTATATCGACACTAAGAACGAAATTTAGAGCTAGTTTCAACCTAAGACTGTCTTGCGCCATAATTGTATAGGACAAGGAGATTGGGGAGGTAGAGGAGGTGGTGGTGGTAGCGGAGAAGACGAATCAGGAGAAAGAGGATTGGGTGAGGTTGACAATCTCGTCATTCTTGCAAGAGGAGGGGGAGGAGGAGGAGGAGGAGGAGACGGACGAGGAGGAGGGGGGGGAAGTCCATCCTTCTCTCAGGAGGACGTTGACTTATTGGGTCATGTGAATATCACACTTGACTTAATTATGCTTCAGTGGCACAGCAACGCGGATAGCACAGTTGAAAGCGCGGCCGTTGAACTTGAAACTGGTGGAGTTTGACGGTAGTTATGCATCGCCTAGTAAAGTTTGTGTCGACAAAGATGTAGAATCATTGGTTAAATTTTTTCTTGTTTTTCTGTCTTATTATATCGCAGAGCCCTAGCGGATCAATGGCAAAGATGCAAGTAAACATTGAGATGGACCATGTAACCAAGGAAGAGGATCATCCAAAACTTAGATTTGTACAGCCCAATAGGAAAGGTTGGTGGATAGTCTGCATATTTCCAAGTAGTAGTGGCCTTAAGCCAACAGTGACGTGTTTTTATTTCTTTATCACGGAATTCACGGGTAAGAAATCATTGCCATCTGAGGTTAGGCTTCCAATTAAAAAAGTCAAGATAATTAATTAATTAAAGAGACAAATGGACGAATAAACAAAGACACGCCCTTCAAAAATTCATGATAATTTCATTCACCATTAAGTGACACAAATAAAAACTGAAAATAACAGAAAATTATTTAATTTGCAAATATTCAGCTGAAAAAATATCAACAAGTCTCATGAATGCTTTTAAAGTAGGAAACGATAATGGCGACGGGGTCAGCGACAGCGACGACGACAGCGTCGGCGATGACAAGGGCAATGATGATAACAATGGCAAAGGCGACGTCGACGGTGATGGTGACGATGATGGCAACAGGAATGGTCATGCCAATGCTCATGGCAATGCAAAGGGTAATTGTAATCAATGAGAAATATCCTATAAGTTCTTATGTGGCTGCTAGGCCGAGCATTTAAACATTAGAAACAAATATGCCAAATTCAAATAACAAGGTAATGACAGTCTCTGTACCGTACTATAATGTTGACATGCGCTTCACAGTACAACAACAACAACAACAACAACAAGGTTTATTTGTACCGTAAAAACTAAAGTAATTAATTATACAATATTAATTCAGTTCAACTTTCAGTTGCTGGTCACCCAAAATAACTATGAAGCTAAACTAGTTGGGTAAAAGTCAGAAAATATGACAAAACTGGCAGACACTAAAAGCGTATTCTAATCTAACTTTTACCCATATATTCTACCTGATATAAAAGCAAAGCCTCTTCCATAATGAGTAGGCACTGAACTGGGTCCAAGGTATTTAACGGTGAGGGCGTTTAACCGAGGTTTCGTCAGCGTTAAGCGGCTTGACAATGTAGCATCACTCTGACTTCCACTGATGACATGTTAGTCCATGTCCAATGTTCCAGTACCCAGTCACACTCTAGGTTGGGGAAAGGCAACATGAATGCTGCATAGTTTTGCTCAAAAGCACAACTAACGTTAAGAACACACTGGGCCAGGGGTCAAACCCAGACTTCTCCAGCGGCGGATGTAGTGACAAAAGAGTGCACAATCCATCTCTCTTATTTGTTCTCTTGCTTGCAGAAAGTCTAATAAAAATCATAGAAAGAGGAAATGTTGATGAGATCAAACAGGAACTGACACCAAAAGCTATGGCAAAGTGTGGCAGAAACGCGCTACTTGTTGCAATGGAGGTATGTCGAGGGAATTTATCACAATGTATGGATATGAACAGCAAACTTACTTTTAGTTTTACATACAGCGATCTTTGTGTAGAATAACCATTTTCAACCGAACCGTTTTTAACCCATGCATTTACCTGGGCCGGACTGTTGAAAGCCCGGTTAAGCTTACTTAGGATTAGAGAGAAATTTGATTTCAGTTCTTTAACTTTTCGTTGAGGTTTTCTCCATGTCTATTTTGTTTGTCCTTCATTTTTGAGCTTGAGTAATCTTACGCTAGACAAACCGTAAAAAATGAAACACAGTTTTATTTAAGACAAATCACTACTACCTGAGTTAGTGTTAACCAGCTTTCGAACAATTCGGCCGCGGGTGAAGAGAGACGTACCGTGTGATTTGGAGTGAAGTGTGTTACACGGGACGATTATCCCGATCGGAGCACGAACCCACGGAACCGCTCGATCCGGTAGTCAACGCTCCTCCACTGTACAAATAATACAGTGTAAAACACTTTGAATGCTTAATTATGAGGAAAGACGATGGTGCTTCCAAAAACAGCTGAATCCAAGGATGTGAATAAGCATGCTAAATTGTACAACTTTGAGTAACCGAACTTTTTTGACGATCAATTTTGAATTCGCTAATACTCGTATACAGGCCCTCAAATGATCCCGGCCCGCAAATGACCCCCAAATTGTACGGCAAATGATCCCAGGACTGAAACTTATTCCACCGCAAAAAGTTAGGAATGAGGTGGACTCCATGAAAAGTCTATGGATGGATACATATTTCTCAATTATTCTAGGTGAAGAAAAGACACGTACCTGAGGCATAAAAGCAGCAATAAAAAACGTACCAAAATACTAAACTGACATGTGTCGACTTCATAAAGTTTTCGTTTAGGAAACGCACTGCAAAAAACAAAAACAAAAACAAAAACTGCTCATATAATGTTGAGAGGAAAATCTTTGTACATGTGTTGTATCATTACGTCGTGATATCACCAAAGAGACATCATGACGTCATGTTATTGCACGAACTGTACCTAATATTTGGAACAGTACCAGCTTGTGATATTTCAAAATTGTTCAAACAACAGCTGTTGAAACAGGTCGTGTTAGAAGGTGTCAAGATATCAAAGATATCAAGATATCGTGATGTCATGATTTTATAATATCATGATATCAAGCAGATACCACAATCATGATATCTACTTTTGAACGTGATGGCCCGCCATAAAGGCGTGCAAGATGCGTAATCGATTTATTTCCTTTAGTCTTACATAAACAATTCAGTAAGTAAACGATCATACATTTTCCTCATGCAAAAATTTAGGTTTGCGTAATTGCGGTAAAGTATACAACTCAAGATGGAAATATTCCAACCAATTTAATCCGGTTCACTTATAGGGTGCCTGGCTGTTTAGAAAAGCATAAATACAGTAGAGTTTATTTTCTAAGGAACTTGACAATTTTACGCAAACAGTTGAGCATTGAATGATACCGTAGCATTGCCCACACAGATGTGGACAGGGTTAAGACAGTGAGTAGCTCTCATAAGATTATAGAGTTATACGGTATAGCGATAGTAAGAGTAAGTAAGTACTTACTATCAGATACTGGATATGATATTTGAGTTAGATACTTACACCGTCCTACATCGGTTTGCACGTGTGTGCTTGCAATTGTTGTTTTGGAATAATTCTGATTTATTTGCTGGGTAACACAATTTAGCGGACTTGGTGTTAAAGACGTGTCGTTCAGTGAAATGCCCTATGATCGTTTAATTTTTAAAAAAAAATCCATTGTGTGTATTATACTTTGAGGGAGTTATTGTATTGTCTCTAGCATCATTTTTATTCTACATGTGTATAGTTGTGAATGATATTTATTTAATATTCCTTCTTTAAGAAGAGAATATTCTCTACATTCACCGTGGCAAAAATGAAATTTAAGGCTGACTTAAATACTGACGGGATGTACAGTCGGGGGAAGCCAGACTACATGATAACAGAGACTATCGTAAATATCTGTACGACATTTACATGATTGTCAAAGGAAATCTAAGTAAGCAATCTAATTAGTCCAGGGCCCCTCTGGATATCAGCCTCGTCGCTAAATGGGCCACCCTGGCTGAATGAAGTTTACCTTTACCTTTACCTGAGCACAGATCTAGAACAAAGGGAACGATTTCATAATCTCTGCCACTCTGGGAGAAGGCTTTCTTTCTGAGAATATACTGAGCCCCTGCACGTCCAAGGTACACCGATTGCAACAGATATAATTTGCTTATTGATATATAAAGAAACCCTCCATTTGGTGAGAAAACATGCTCGGATATTTGTCCGCGAACATAATCTTTCCGAAAAGCGAAGAGTTTTTCGAAAGCGAAGCTCGAGCAAAACTGAATTGAGGCTTTCGAGGCTTGGGGTAATTCTGGACCGGAGGTAGGTTCGATTCGCATCATGAGTCAGCACACGTTTGGTTACAATTATTCATGACACATACATGGCATTCATTATGTTCGCCATCACGTGCGTTACAAAGTTAAAATTTTATCTTCCCATTTGCGGTGCAGTGAACACAACTGAGAGGGGTGAATAGGTTTTCGGATCGACGGATTCGGCCTTAAAAGCGCACGGATTGTAGATTTTTGCAGTAAATCGAGCGGATTCGCGGATTTTGAAAACACAGTGGATCGTGGATCTGCTGTGAATATTGGTGCGGATTCCGGATTCTGCCTGTCTTGATGTTCGGATCTCCTAATCGAAATGTGGATCATAGATCTTTCATTAGTCTTGGTCGGTATGTTAATGAATTCATCCAAATTATTTCTTTTTTTCGAACGAAGCTCATTTAAACTCAGGTGAGTGTTATAGTCATTGATCGTGTTGCCTTCTTTACTATTTGTACAAAATTAACAATGGCAATCACGTTTACCAATTTGCCCTTGACCTTTTACACTTCTGTTTCGGATGTGGTTGTGGTTTCGGATTTGAATAACAATATTCGCGGATCGACGGATTTGGCGAAAAAACGCACGGATCGAAGGATTTACATGCTCCCATTCACCCCCCTCACAACTGATTCCTTGTGTTATAACTATACATGATTTTCTTTTTTTTCTGATTTCTTTTGCCAGTTTTCTAATTTCGACTGGTGCACAGTGATAGGGTAATTATTTAGCGAAAGAAATAAAAAAAAGAGGAGCAATAATGACGAGTCCAAATAACGATTTGGAACACGAAAATAACAGAGGTTGAATTGAGACCAAGAAATAGTGGCCGTAATAACTAGATACATGTACTGATTCAATCGTAAGCAACCTTAGCTTAAAACTCAGCTGCCTCCACCTGACCAATCATTGCTTTTGCCTTGTCTACATTGTCTTTTAGTCATAGAAACGGAAAGATGCAATCGAAGGTCACCTTTGACCAACTGAACGTGCGGAAGACGTTTTATGCTTCTGTCATTAAGGTTTGACGCATTAAGCTAGTGATTAATTATTTGTCCTCGAAGATTAACATATTTATTCGAATAAGCGTGGATCCTAATCATTAATCGTATTTTTTTTGTATTTTATTTTTATCTTTTTGGTTGGCATGATAACACTACAGAATCAAAAGACATTTTAAACTTATGTCACCTTGGTGGCACGTATACCCGACATAGTTTGCATCGCACAAACCACACTTGTAGTGGTAAACAACGCGTTGCTGGTTAATGATAGGCGACTTCTTTTCTTTTAATTTGATTTCGTGTCCGATCTTACGGCTTGTATACGCGGGGCGAATTTCAATTCCAATTTTGCGGCGTAGTTCCCCAAGTTGCCTTGGCGCGGAATTGGCCGATCTCTGATCTTTAAATGGTAAAACTATTCTGACAGGCGCTTCATTTCTGTTACATGCTCGAGTGGAAATTGGATCGCCAGAAACTTTCTTGGTGACAAAATTACTGATGGTCGGTTGCAGCAGTTGGGCTGGGTATTGAAGTCGGGAGAACGCCTGTGTGAGACGATCACATTCCAGGTGGAACAGTTGCCAGGTAGATGACACTTTAAAGGCACGATCCAGCGTTGTTTTTAGCAATGAATGATTTGCTATCATCGACCATCAGCAATTTTGTTAATCTTCTTCATCCTTAACCGGCCATTCTTGTTCCTTTTTGGGTTTGACCCCCTCTTTTCTTTTCATAGACCTGATTTTGTCCATTTTAACAAAACAAAAAAGCAAAAAACAAAAAAAAAAACAAAAAAAACAAAAAACAAAAAAACAAAAACAAAAACAAAACAGAAAAAATCTGATCGTAAGAAGTTACAAATTTTCCACTTCTTGTGCTCTCGTGTGGCTGAAGGGCAAGGTTAATATGTATTCTTTTTCAAGGCCTATTCCACCTCAAGGAACGACATCAGCTACAAGCTTTTACCTAGTATACTTAGTTGTCTTGAACTGAGTACGTTAGCCTGATGCAATTTCACTAATGTAGCTTCTTTTATTCCTGATGGTCGTGCGCTAAGATCTTCTTAAATGCAAACAGCTACTAAAACCACGCATGGACTTCAATGCGCCTTATTTCGAAAACGAGTGCGGTGACCCGCCACGTTTTTTACTTTTTGGCAAAAGTTGATCTTTACCTCACTACATGGCAAGTTTTGAAAAAATCTGTGCGTGAGAACATTTTTGGCGCGAACGTCTTCATTATTCTCAGGCTGTAGACAGTTTGCCAGCAATGAAATCTCCGTAACGATGTTTAAGGCCGCTCGCCGCTAATAGACCCTCCTGTCCGATAACAACAAAATGTCCTACTTATTCCAAGTATTGACCGAAGTTATCTTATTATTGTTGATTGAGAGATGTTTAATTGTTTCTTTTACGGACTTTTCATTCAGTTTTTATGCACATGCTCATTTTTTTAAGAACTTCTTGACACCGGAGTGACTAGGATCATGGGCAGCAATACGCCACTTATTCCAGCGGAGGTACGCTCACTCTTAACCTAGTAACGTTTGGGGGGATTCTTTGACTGCAGTTTTTGCCTCAGTAATGTAAACCAGCCAGTTTCTGATCAAGCTATGAAAATATCATTCCTGAATATTGCAAGGGCATAGCACGAGAGAAAACGTTACTGTGCCAAGGAATTTGAGGCAATGTAGTAATTTGATACTTTTTTGTGCGACGCGGGTTAAAAAACTCAAAGCTATGAAAAGAATGTATGGACTCGTTAGCTCTCTCGTCATCCGGAAATTTTGCAGTACTTGAAAGCCAATTTTTAATATTACACCCAAAGAGCTTAACATTTCATCATGTACTAAGTTTATTAGCTCTTTAACTGTTTGGATCCAATTTATATCTAAAATGATGTCTTCCCTACGGAAAGTCGTATGCTAGTAAGGCAAAATATCAACAAATAACAGCAGCCAAGATCGCCCTATATCGACACTAAGAACGAAATTTAGAGCTAGTTTCAACCTAAGACTGTCTTGCGCCATAATTGTATAGGACAAGGAGATTGGGGAGGTAGAGGAGGTGGTGGTGGTAGCGGAGAAGACGAATCAGGAGAAAGAGGATTGGGTGAGGTTGACAATCTCGTCATTCTTGCAAGAGGAGGGGGAGGAGGAGGAGGAGGAGGAGACGGACGAGGAGGAGGGGGGGGAAGTCCATCCTTCTCTCAGGAGGACGTTGACTTATTGGGTCATGTGAATATCACACTTGACTTAATTATGCTTCAGTGGCACAGCAACGCGGATAGCACAGTTGAAAGCGCGGCCGTTGAACTTGAAACTGGTGGAGTTTGACGGTAGTTATGCATCGCCTAGTAAAGTTTGTGTCGACAAAGATGTAGAATCATTGGTTAAATTTTTTCTTGTTTTTCTGTCTTATTATATCGCAGAGCCCTAGCGGATCAATGGCAAAGATGCAAGTAAACATTGAGATGGACCATGTAACCAAGGAAGAGGATCATCCAAAACTTAGATTTGTACAGCCCAATAGGAAAGGTTGGTGGATAGTCTGCATATTTCCAAGTAGTAGTGGCCTTAAGCCAACAGTGACGTGTTTTTATTTCTTTATCACGGAATTCACGGGTAAGAAATCATTGCCATCTGAGGTTAGGCTTCCAATTAAAAAAGTCAAGATAATTAATTAATTAAAGAGACAAATGGACGAATAAACAAAGACACGCCCTTCAAAAATTCATGATAATTTCATTCACCATTAAGTGACACAAATAAAAACTGAAAATAACAGAAAATTATTTAATTTGCAAATATTCAGCTGAAAAAATATCAACAAGTCTCATGAATGCTTTTAAAGTAGGAAACGATAATGGCGACGGGGTCAGCGACAGCGACGACGACAGCGTCGGCGATGACAAGGGCAATGATGATAACAATGGCAAAGGCGACGTCGACGGTGATGGTGACGATGATGGCAACAGGAATGGTCATGCCAATGCTCATGGCAATGCAAAGGGTAATTGTAATCAATGAGAAATATCCTATAAGTTCTTATGTGGCTGCTAGGCCGAGCATTTAAACATTAGAAACAAATATGCCAAATTCAAATAACAAGGTAATGACAGTCTCTGTACCGTACTATAATGTTGACATGCGCTTCACAGTACAACAACAACAACAACAACAACAAGGTTTATTTGTACCGTAAAAACTAAAGTAATTAATTATACAATATTAATTCAGTTCAACTTTCAGTTGCTGGTCACCCAAAATAACTATGAAGCTAAACTAGTTGGGTAAAAGTCAGAAAATATGACAAAACTGGCAGACACTAAAAGCGTATTCTAATCTAACTTTTACCCATATATTCTACCTGATATAAAAGCAAAGCCTCTTCCATAATGAGTAGGCACTGAACTGGGTCCAAGGTATTTAACGGTGAGGGCGTTTAACCGAGGTTTCGTCAGCGTTAAGCGGCTTGACAATGTAGCATCACTCTGACTTCCACTGATGACATGTTAGTCCATGTCCAATGTTCCAGTACCCAGTCACACTCTAGGTTGGGGAAAGGCAACATGAATGCTGCATAGTTTTGCTCAAAAGCACAACTAACGTTAAGAACACACTGGGCCAGGGGTCAAACCCAGACTTCTCCAGCGGCGGATGTAGTGACAAAAGAGTGCACAATCCATCTCTCTTATTTGTTCTCTTGCTTGCAGAAAGTCTAATAAAAATCATAGAAAGAGGAAATGTTGATGAGATCAAACAGGAACTGACACCAAAAGCTATGGCAAAGTGTGGCAGAAACGCGCTACTTGTTGCAATGGAGGTATGTCGAGGGAATTTATCACAATGTATGGATATGAACAGCAAACTTACTTTTAGTTTTACATACAGCGATCTTTGTGTAGAATAACCATTTTCAACCGAACCGTTTTTAACCCATGCATTTACCTGGGCCGGACTGTTGAAAGCCCGGTTAAGCTTACTTAGGATTAGAGAGAAATTTGATTTCAGTTCTTTAACTTTTCGTTGAGGTTTTCTCCATGTCTATTTTGTTTGTCCTTCATTTTTGAGCTTGAGTAATCTTACGCTAGACAAACCGTAAAAAATGAAACACAGTTTTATTTAAGACAAATCACTACTACCTGAGTTAGTGTTAACCAGCTTTCGAACAATTCGGCCGCGGGTGAAGAGAGACGTACCGTGTGATTTGGAGTGAAGTGTGTTACACGGGACGATTATCCCGATCGGAGCACGAACCCACGGAACCGCTCGATCCGGTAGTCAACGCTCCTCCACTGTACAAATAATACAGTGTAAAACACTTTGAATGCTTAATTATGAGGAAAGACGATGGTGCTTCCAAAAACAGCTGAATCCAAGGATGTGAATAAGCATGCTAAATTGTACAACTTTGAGTAACCGAACTTTTTTGACGATCAATTTTGAATTCGCTAATACTCGTATACAGGCCCTCAAATGATCCCGGCCCGCAAATGACCCCCAAATTGTACGGCAAATGATCCCAGGACTGAAACTTATTCCACCGCAAAAAGTTAGGAATGAGGTGGACTCCATGAAAAGTCTATGGATGGATACATATTTCTCAATTATTCTAGGTGAAGAAAAGACACGTACCTGAGGCATAAAAGCAGCAATAAAAAACGTACCAAAATACTAAACTGACATGTGTCGACTTCATAAAGTTTTCGTTTAGGAAACGCACTGCAAAAAACAAAAACAAAAACAAAA